GACGTGAAGAAGAACTCCACCGGGCCCTGTACATACTGTAAGTCCGTGTCTGGGTGTGAGAGCACAAGCCTGTGTGTCTCAGGTCTTTGGGGACCCTGAGCCTCCGTGAGTGCGAGGCGGGTGTAATGAGACCAAACCGCACTTCAAGGTGGAGGAGGGAGAGGAAGCAGAAAGAGGCCTTTGCAGAATCAGCAGAGCGGGTTACGACTCTGAACTTCAGAGCAGGCCAGGCTGTGGTTCTGTCCCTGGCCCCACCGTGCCCGTATTTTCTCATGTACAAAACGGGCACAGAAACATCCCGCTTGGGCAGCTGTTGTAAGGATCGGTGCCGGGCGCACGGGACGCACTCAGCGTGCACTGAGGGGGAGGAGAATTACACTGAAAGTCGTAGCAAAGGGATTCGCTTCCCAGCGAGACAAACTCCAGCCTCCTTCCAGAGACGAGGGGACAGAACCCAGCCCAGGAGGTTTCAGGTCACAAAAGCAAGGAGATGAAGGCTGAATCCTTGTCCCCTACGGCCCTTGTGCCTGGATCTTGGGGGGGCGGGCCGCATGACCTTGGCTAAGTCGTTTCACTTCTCCGTGAGAGCTTTGTTGAGGAGTCTGGGTGAGTGTTTATGCCCCACGGTGGGTGTCTGCTTCCTTACCAGCGAGAGGAGAGAGGAGGTCGGGGCCAGACCTCAAGGGCCTGCTCAGTTCTAATGATTTTAAGTGTCCCCAGGACTTCCAGGGGGGCTCCCGTGCTGGGGAGAAGGCTGCAGGTGCCGCTGGCCGGGCCGGCTTGAGCAGCAGGCCCAGTGGAGCAAGGACGCTCTTCCGTCTATCTGATCTCCTCCTGAGACAGAGGAACCTGTGGTCTGGCTTCGGCTGAGCCGGCCAGAACAGGAACCAAGGCCCCCTAGAGCACCCTCACAAGTTCTAGGCTCTGGGCTTCTGCTTTGCAGGTTGGGTCACAGAATGGGACGTCCTCAGGGGCCGCTCAGGAACCGGGAGCCTTTCCACTCCTCCAGCTGCCCGAGGAGGCTGCCGGCCTTCCCCTGTAACGGGGCTCCTCAGGGCCAGGCATCCCCGGCCTCTGCCCAGCCTGCCCAGCGGAGGTGGGCCAGCCTCGGGAAGGCCAAAGTCATTTGGGGAAAACCCTGCTACGTTTCCTCAGGGGACGGGTCTGAGACACACTGTCACCCACCTTCATCCCTGTCAACTGGGACTGGACACTGGACAAAGTCTATTTGTCATTGCTGCTGCTGTTACTATTACTCTTATTAGAGAAGGAAGCTGAGGTTCAGAGAAGCCCAAGGTCACACAGGGAGTCAGCTGGCTGCTGGAGACAACGAGACTTGAGGCCATGCCCCAAGGTAACACGAACACAATTGTCACAGCAATTCCCATCCTCCTGCCACCAACCCACAAATATACACTTGACTTGGACGCAGTGGTGAGCAAAAGCATTTTTAAAATTTATGTATTTCTCTTCTAAAAGCATTTTAAGACTCAATACTTAATTACTCCTCTGGCTCCACCTCCTACAGGGGAGGTGTCCTCTAGATCGGCACGGTCCAATGCAGGAGTCGCTGGCCATAGACGGCTAGTAAGCCCTCGAGACGTGGCTAGTCCGAATGAAGATGTGCTGTGAGCGCAAAATATGCACTAGGTTCCGAAGACTTGGTATGAAAAAAAGAATGTAAAAATCTCATTCGTAATTTTTGTATTGATGACACGTGGAAATGATAGTATTTTGGACATCAATTAATTTTAACCTGTTTCTCTTTACGTTTGAATGTGGCTATAGGGTATTCACAGTTGCACGTGTGGGATTGCAGTTGTGGCTCACGCCATGTTTCTGTCAGTGTGACATGGCGCCGCTCTAGATGGTCCTGCTTCTGGGGTGATGAGGTCGTGCCGAGACTGGGGAGCCAGAGCAAGGAGGCAGGACGGCCCTGCTGGGCGGACGGCATTCGCTTCTCAGACACGTTTTCCCAGGGAGACTGCATAGAGGGGTTTGGAAGCCCTGGCCAGACTCAGAACATCGGTTCTACTGTATTCAGACATAAAGCCAGCAGTGCAAGGCCAAGCCATGGGCTTTGGAACCAGATAGTTCCAATCTCTGCCTCACCACCTACTCGCTGTGTGACCTTGAACCAGTTACTCAGCCCTGAGCTTCAGTTGGCTCATCTGTAAAATGGGAATATAGCATCGAGCCTCCTAGAAGGTCCTTAAGAGGATTCAGTGAGTTCAAGTGTGTGTAGCACCTAACACAGTGCTTGGCACCGTCAGAGCTCAGTAAGTTCAGATAACAAATATAATTCACTAAAGTGATAAAGGGCATCCTAGAGACCGGGATAATTTAGCCTTGGGTTAACAGTGTTTGGCATCTGCACTCAGTGGATGCCCCAGCTGACTTCTCCTTGCTCACCTGGTCCATGGGTAGAAATGGGCAGGTTGGCGGTTGACACGCGTGGACACAGTGGGCTCAGCAGTGGTAGGGCCCCGAGTCTTGTCAGCCAGGCTCTGCTCAATGGCCATCTGGACCAGCTCATCCTCACTCAGGCTGCTGTACAGGCTGTACTCCTCGCGCCCGATGGTACGCTGTCCGCCCCGAGAACGGATCTCCGTGGCCATCCTCCTCACCTCTCACCCCAGCCTCCAGGAGAGGCACTCCGTGGGAGGAGGAAGCAGCAAATCAGAAGACCCTGTGAAGAGACCAGAACCATCCTGGTCACTAGCAGATTTGCAAGATAGCGATGTTGACCCACAGGGAAGGCTGTACCATCTTCTGGCAATCACACAATCATTTTTTATGCATTCGTTTTGTCATATGATCCGCTCAACCACTCATTCATCTACACGTCCATCTACCTGACCACTCACCTGTTCGCCAATCCACCCACTTATCTAACCATCCATCTAACCATCCACCCATCTGTCTAGTTATTCATCCTCCCATGCACCCATCTGTCTATCCAGCCACTCATTTATCCGTCCACGCTCCCATCTGTCCATTTATCCGTCCATTTATCCAACTGTCTGTTCATCCATCCATTCAACTATCCATACTTCTATCCATCCACTCATGTGTTTATCATCCAACCATCTACTAATTCCTCCGTTATCCATCCTCTGATGTATCTGTCCACCTACCCTTCCACTTATCCATCTATCTTCCCCTCTATCCATCTATACATCTATCTTTCCAACAAACCATCCACCATTCATTTTTCCTTTCTGGACAGCCTATCTATACAAGTATGCATGCATCATTAAGTGAGAGATTATTTATTGAGCACCGACTGTATGTCAGGCACTCTTCTAAGCGCTGTGATCCAACAATGATCCCTGCCTCCATGGAGCTTACACAACAGAGCTTATACGCCTTCATTCCGATTGTCCACCAACACCCTGTCCGGGCTCTTCCCCATTTCTCTGCACTGTTCCAGAGCTGAGAACGCTAGAGATGGATCAGGCGCGGGCCCACTCCTTCAGATCACATGACACAGTTAAAATCAGTTAACTTGCCATGTTAATTCCAGGGACTCTCTTCTTAAAAAAAAAAAAAAAATGCCTCGAGGAGAAATGGACTTTGGTTGAGTCAACTGCTTTCAGGAAATCAACTAAGCCTGATTTTCATTCCGTCAACTAAGCTGACACGCAGTGTGACTGTAGGTCAATGGCTCTTAGCCCTGGCTGGACGTTAGAATCACATGAGGTCTTTTTAAAAATATCCAAAATGCCAGTGCTATAATTTGGTTTGTTCGGCAAACATTCACCCCATTCCCCTTGGAGGCAGAGTGCCCCCCACTCACTCACTGAGATTGGTCTTGGCCGTGTGACTTGCTCTGGCCGGTGACTGTTGGTGGAGAATAAATGCTGATTTGGGATGCTTTGTTATGCCACATTCTTGTGGCTGTAGTTTACTGATACCCAAAAGATTACTTCACAAAGAGGACATCCAAATGGCCAACAACCAAACGCAAGGGTGCTGCACTGCACAAGTGTTTGGGAGAAACTCAAATTAAGACCCCAATGCAATACCACTATACACTCACCAGAGTGGCTCAAGTGAAAAAGGACGGGAAACACCAAGCATTGGGGAGGATGTGAGCAAGTGGAACGCTCAACACCATTGGTGGGCGGGTGAAATGGTAAAACCACTTTGGAAAATTGATGGCATTTGCTAAAGCTAACCATACCCACATCCTGTGACCCAAACATCCCACTCTTAGCTCTATGCCCAAGAGAATTGCATACGTGTGTTCACCAAAAGACAGTCCAAGAATATTCATAACAGCGCCACTCATAATAAACCCAAACGGACACTCCCCAGTGTCTATCAACATTTGAATGGATTACTGCACGTGGTGTGTTCTCCGGATGACTAGCACGCACCAGTGAAATCGACACGTGGCCACTACACACAACAGGATGAGCGTCACAAACCACAGCGAGCAAGTTGGATAGTGAAGAATGTATATACACGATTCAATTTACATAAAGCTCAAGAACAGGCAAAACTAAACTGTGGTGCTGGAAGTCCGAATGGCGGTTCCCTTTGGGAGGACACACACGAGAGAGACTTCCGGGGAGCCAGTCATGCTGTGTTTCTCGATCTCAGTGGTCACGTGGCTGGTTGGTTCATTTCCTTTGTGAGCATCCCTGGAGCTGCTCGAGTCTGACTGGTGCACTCTCTGTGAGCAACTTCTACTGCGATAACATAGCTACTTAAAAATAGATGAAGTCGGGTCTTGGGGCCGGCCTGGTGGCACAGTGGTTAAGTGCGCATGTTCCACTTCTCGGCGTCCCAGGGTTCGCCACTTCGGATCCCGGGTTGTGGACATGGCACCACTTGGCAAGCCATGCTGTGGCAGGCGTCCCACATATAAAGTAGAGGAAGATGGGCACGGATGTTAGCTCAGGGCCAGTTTTCCTCAGCAAAAAGAGGAGGATTGGCAGCAGATGTTAGCTCAGGGTTAATTTTCCTCAAAAAAAAAAAAAAAATATATATATAAAATCAGTTATAAAAAGTATCGGTGTTTGGGCCCCATCTCCGACCAATTAAGTCGGGACCTACCCTCTCTGAAGGGGCCCCCAGGTGGTGGGGAGCCACCACTTTAGAGAATGACCAGTCATAAATTGCAAGTAGAGGTGGGACAGCCGTGGGGGGGAGGGGACAAGGGGTGGCACCAGACACAGCCATTGATAGATATTCCTTTGTCCAATTCCTGTTTCAGTCCTGAGAGTAACAACTATTGCCCTATAAAGCTCTAGCAAACGAGAGTTGTTATTATTAAACAAATCTGGGCTCTTCCAAACCTGAGAGGAGGCTGCAGACCCTGAAGACGGCAGATGGGCTGTGCGAGGGCATTTGGGGACCATGACGGTTCTTTGCTCTGCCAGTCCTTCCTGATGCTCTCCCTCCACTGGCTCCTCTCCACCGATTCTGCCTGACTCAGGCCTTGATTTTTCCTGCCTGGCCTCAGCCCACCCACCCACTGTCAGCTCTGGTGCCCCGCACCCCAGACCTCACCAAGTCCCTTCTCTGCCTAAGAGAACAAAGCCTGCGCCCCTTGCCCTGGCCTTTGAGTCCTTCGAAATCTAGTCCTCACCCTCTGGTCACCCTCTTCCTTCGCACACCAGACCTGACCTTCCAGGTAAGGCAAGGACACCCCCAAGCCACCTGTGGTTCCCACTCCATTGCCCTTGCTTGGGCTGTGCCTAACACATCCCCCTCTGTTCTACACTCTTAGAACTCCTTCTCATCCCTCAAGGCCCAGAGCGAGTGCTTCCTCTTCCAGGAAGCTTGCCCAGATTCTTCTGAGAAGTGTTCCGACACTAGAACTTCTCCCTCTGGGCTGTGGTCAGTAGTTCATGTGTGGACATGACCCCAGATCCTCTTCCCCAAGGCTAGTGCCTTATGCAAAGAGAAGGCCCAGTGAAAGTTAACCGCGCTGGTGCCCAATGTCTCCAGAATGGTAGGGTGTGGCAAACCCTCTTGACGGCCCGCCCAACAGCCATTTCTCCCATCTTCTCTGCCAGCAGACCCTGGCTTTGCTCAGCAACAGCGTGCCCTCTCCCATGGATGAAGCATGATTGTTCCAAGCCAAGTGGGACAATCTTGCTGTCCCCTTGGCCAGTGACCAGTTTAAGAGTGGACATGTAGCTCAGTTTTGTCCAAAGAGACATAAAGGAAATTCTGCTGGGGTCTCCTAGGAAGGACTCTCCTTTTCCTAATACAAGGGAAAGCTGTGAAGGAAATGACTCCTCACCCAACTCCTGCTTTGTACTTAGAGGACTTGATGCTTGGAGCAGTGGCAGCCATCTTGTAACCATGAGGGGGACAGTGTTGATACAATGAGTTTGACAGAGTTAATGATAGGTCTTCTGGGTCCTTCGTTATATTCTAGAGCTGCTAAACCCATGCTGAGTCTGCCCACCCGGGCCTGCTTGTTAGGTAAAGACAGAAGATCCTTATGGTTTAAGCCAGTGTTAGTTAACACATAACGTATATAACAGTGACTATTACATGCAGTCAAAACTGTCATAACGCATGGTTCTCAGGCCTGGCTGAGAGTCCCGAAAACAGACCAAGGCCCTGGTCCCACCCAGACCACGAACTTGAAGCCACCAGGGCTGAGGCCCAGGCACGGCCGTGTCCAGGGCTTCCCTGACAATATGAGCATGCAGCCAGGGCTGAGAGCCACTGCTCCAGATCCGTATTCGGGCGGCTGCCCTGTGTTCCACACCAAAATCATTTGTGCCTGATGTTTGGGGTGTTGTTATTATTATTATTTTGCAGCAGTAGCATCACCAACGTCACTTTGGTTTATTATGAACAGAGCCCAAGACTGGGGATCAAGAGATGAGTTCACGTCCCAGCTCAGCCTCAGGCACCTCTCTTCCTTCTTGGGCCCTGGGTTTTTCCATCCATTAAATGGGAGGATGGACAAGGGCCCTGCCATCCTGACAGGGGGCACCATGAAGCTGGGTGGTCCCACCCCAGCTGTTCAGGTCTGGCTTCCTGCCCCGTCCCTGCTTCCCTGTGGCTGAGGTCCCTGCAGGTCTGGTGGGCCCAGGTCGGCCTTCAGGGGGGTGGGGAGGGGGCTCTGCCCAGTGAGGAAGGACACCCTCAGCTTCTCCAGGGCCAGGGTCTGGCTCTATCCCCCAGCTGGCATAAGGCAGGGCTCAGTGCATAGGGTGCTACACTGACCGGAAGGGTGGATGCCCAGTGCCTGGCCCAGCATCAAGGTGCCCCCATCTGAGGGCATCTGCTCCAGGACAGGGGAGAAGGGGGACGAACACTGGACTCAGAGTCAGAGGCCTGGCTTAGAGTCTCCATGCTGATGCTGGAGTGCTTTGTGACCTCAGCCAAGTCCCTGTCCCTCTCTGGGCTTAGTTTTCCCATTGCAAAAGGTGGGTTTTGGCCACAAGTTTTCCAAGGGCTCTTCTAGTTCTAAAGCTCTACAACTCAGTGAGATGTTTGGTTTAGCCCTGTGCTATTGAACTTCAAACTGTCTGTCCTGGGGGTCCCCTATGCCCACCTTAACAGGTCCACCATATGTAAAGAGCTTAGTGTTGGTCATGGGGGAATAGGGACCTGGACGGGAGTGGAAGGATCTCAGATCTGGATGTCAGGAATCCTAGGATCTAGTTTCACTTCTGAAACTTACTAGCTGTGTGACCTTGGTCAAGCCACTTCCCCTTCCTGGGCCTTGGTTCCTTTATCAGTGAAAATGGGAGCTTGACAACCCTCCTCGCCATGTTGTAGGAGCAACACATGGGCTGGGGCATGCACGGGCAGCTTGTGAGGGGTAGAGCAAGCATTGACCGGGATCCTTCCAGCCCCTCACCCAAGGTGGCTGTCGGCCCTGCGGCCTGGCGTGGGCTGATCGGAGGCGTGTGGACAGCTCCCGGCTACCGTGCCTCTTCCCAGCCCAGGCACCTATGGGACGCGAGGGCAGCCAGGTGACGTCCCCTGGAACCGCCAACCTCCTGCAGCTAACTCAGACTCACCAGCCCTCCCCCTTGGGTAGACCACGTCCGCAGACTTTTCCATTTGTCGCTTATTTCATGGCGTTGCCGTGACAACAGCCCCCAGAAGGCAAGAACATTTTTTGTTGAATTAACTTATTAATTCTTCAGCACTCCTGCTCCTTCCAAAAGGACTTGATGCCACCACGTGATTGCTCCCATTTCACAGATGAGACAGTCAGGGCAAGAGGAGGGTTCGCTCCACACACATGGGTTCTGAGCAGACAGGGGCGACCTTGCCGTCCTGGTCCAGCCTGTGCAGCGAGCACCACACCAGGCCCTCGGCCCACGCAGACGAAGGCACACACGGATGAGTGAGGTGAGGGCTGACTTTGAAGGGACCGTGAGGGAGAGGGTCTCTGCCTCTGAGACGGCGAACTCCCGCCCTCCACTGTGGGCAGTGATGTCTCTTGCTTTTCCCGCTGAGATCCACAACCTCTGAGGGTCCCCGGGTGAGTCACCCGTCTTTAGAACCTTCACGTGCAAAATGGAGATGCTAGTGAATACCATTCTTAAGGGCTTGGTGGTAGAACCCAGAGGGCTCCGTGCTGGGCCTGGCCATTAGCAAGTGCGTGGTCCAGGCTGCTTCAGGAGGGGAGCCCTCCATTCCCAGACCTGTGCAATTACAGGTTGGGACGCCTCCCAGGGACACTGGGGGCACATCCCTGGGGGCTGGTGGGGCGGCTCAGCCTTAGCATGAGGGGGCAGTTATGAAGCAGCCGGGGGGGTCAGCTTGACCAGGTTCAACTCACAGCTTTGCCAGTTATTAGCTAGGAAAACTCCTAGAATCTCTATTTCTCTACCTAAAATTGACCTAATAAAAGTTCCTGTTTCATGGTGGGGGCGTGGGGGGGCTGGGGGGAGAGATCCAGGCTGATGCCCTGCCCCTCTTTCACGTCAGTTTCCCCTCACGGTGCTGCTGCCCAGCTTGATTTCTGAGGCCTTTGGCTGGGGGCTGGGCCAGCTTCTAGGCCTGAGTCCTGGAGACAGGCCAGCTGTCTCCAGGGAGCCTCTGGGAGGCTGATTGGGATAAAAAATAGCCCTTTCCCAGGGCAGGCGGGAGTGCGTGGGCCTTCTCGGTCAAGCCAGGGGCCTGCAGAGGGAGCAGTGTGCGAGGGTGACCAAGCCAAGGCCAGCTTGGAACTGGGGAGACCGGACCCCCTGGGGCCTCCAGGGCTCTTTTTTGCCTCCTTTGCAGCGCCCCAAATATTGGCCCCAGGGCAGCGGCCTCCTCTTCCAGGTGGCGTCAGTAAAGCGGGGCTAGCTGCTGTGGCAGGGTTCCTTGAGCTAACACATGCAAAGCACTCAGCACGGTGCCTGCTCCATCCACAGCCAGTGTTCTTCTAACTTGGGCCTCAGTTTCTACATCTGTGAAGTGGGCGCAGAAACCCGGGTCCTCGCAGGGCTGTGGCGAGGATTGAACAACAGCATTTGGAAAGTGGTCCTTCCCGCCCCCTCCCCCCACTTCTTTCCCCTCCCCACAATCCAGGCTCACCAACATCCAGGGGCTGCCTAGGAGCTGGGGGGGCGTCTCTGTGGCTGTCTGGGGGCTGCAGTGGGAGGAGTGGCTCCCTGACTGTCTTATCAGGAAATCTGGGGGTGGGGGCAGGGCTGGGAAGGTGGAGGGCAAGAGGAAGGGCTGGCGGCCGTCCTCTAGCACCCCAAGCTCCCTTCAGCCAGAGGCTCAGTCGGGAGTGGGGAGTGCGACCCTGGACAAGCCACCTCCTGTCCTCAGGCTGTTGTAGATGGAGCCCACATTGCCACTGATCTGCCTTCCCTTCCCTGTGCCATCACCTGGCTAGTCCTCCATCCAGACACAGTTCCTAGATCTCCTCCACCAGGAAGCCTTCTGGATCTGACGGCCACGGCATTTGAGCTGCCTCCAAGTGCACCCCTCACCGTTCTGTTGCTCTGACTGCCTGCTATGGGCCTGTGTCCCTGGAGAATCCGGAAACTTCTGAAGAGCAGGACTGTGTCATTCGTGTCGCAACCCCAGGACACAACCCAAGGCCAGGTACACAGTAGGTGTTTAATAAGTGCTGCCTGGACAGGCGAATGAATGATAGGGTCAAACCTTGGAAGCATAGCTCTTACTGAGAAGATAATTGCGTGGTAGATGGTGGAGCTGCTGGTCTCCGACTGCCTGAGTTCAACCCTGGCTCTGCCACCTACAGGCCATGTGATGGGGAGCAGGTCACTGCCACCCTCGGTGCCTCACTTTACCCATCTGTAAAATGGAGATAATAATAGTATCGAGCCTGTGGAGGTGTTAGATTAAATGTGGTAATGTATATAAATGGGGAGCAGGGCGCCCGGCACACAGCCAGTGACCCACGAAAGCCTGCTCACATTATTCTACGGCTCCCAAAATGCCGCTGTTCTCTGCTCTGACCCACCCTGCTGGGACACTGTGCACCTGGAACTCGTCCCCAGTTGGCGGTTTCCAGGGAGCCCAGTCTGAGGGATGTGGCTCCTCCCACACTCTCCTCCATTTAAAAAGAGCAAGCGTGAGAATGACAGTGAGCTGGCCTTCTCTGGACAGCTGTGGTCAAGAGGTAAGGCTGTGGCCATCAGACCCCCTGGTGGTCCCGGGCTGCCCGGGGGACCCTGCAGAGTCCCGCTGATTGGGCCCATGGGTCAGTCATGGGGCCAGAGCTTGGGGAGGAAGGAGACCTCCACGCCCTCCCCCAGCCCAGCCTGGTGCAGGATGCGCTCTGCCCCCTCATCCCCAATCCCCCATTCCCAGGGCCCCTCCGGCCCCCTCCTCCCTTCCTGTTCACACGACCTGCTGTCCTGGGAACGCTGGAAGGACACATGGCCCGTCCCACTGCACTTCTCCTAACCCCGGCTTTGAATATGTGTGGACCACATGAACGACAGATGACGACCGTGGATGCCCAGCAAGGACTCCATTCATGGAACAGAGGCGGGCACATAGCAAGTGTCATGTAAGTGTCTCAGTGAGGGTCTACGTGTGTTTTTTAGGTGTGACCATGGAGTGTGGACCATTCAATTCAGCCCTTAGGTGGAGCACCACAGGTCAGGCCCATCTGTCACCTCAGGTCACTACGGCAGGTTCTCGGAGAACCGCCACCACCACGCCCCCCTTGCAGGTAATTTATGCTCTCACATGCCTTGTTACTTTGAGCCACGTGATAAATCTGTGATAAGGGTATTGTTATTCCCATTCTACAGCTGAGGAAACTGAGGCACATGGGGAAGAACCCAACATGGAAGAGACTGGAGGCTGCATCTTCTGACTTCACGCCTAGTCCTCATCTCATGTAACCAACAGCGGTCTCCACCTGTTTTGTAAGCTTTGAGTAAAAGCCCAAGTTAAACTCAGGGCGATATATGTATATTCAAAAAAACTATATATATGTCTATGTGTGTCTCTATTACATGTGTGTATATGTATGTAGATAATATGCTCTCTACTTGTTTATTTCAAAAGTTTCAGGTTCTCCCAAACGTCACATGCCCCTTGGCCTGAGGTCATGGCTACTTGGGCTAGCCTGGGGTCATGTGAGGAAGTAGGGAATTGACCCGGGCGGTTCCTTGGCCTCCACCGTCCTCAACCCAATTCCTTGCAATGCCCCATAAGTTGATATTGAAGCTTATCTTTCTGATCAGCCATTCCCCTGGGATCCAGACAGGTCCTAGGAAATTTGAGGACACAATTCCAGCTGGAGGGCTCGTGGCTGAGAACCATTGAAACGTTCTCCCCGCTTCTTGGGTCCTATGGCTTTAAAACCTGAGCCATAAAAATACCTGGAGCTTGTGGGTCCCTGTCCTGCTTCCTGGCTGCTTTCAGGTGCCGTGCCTTTTGACCCTCTCAACACTGGTGGGAGAGGCAGTAGGATTCTCCCCATCGTGCAGATGGAGAGACTGAGGCCCACATTGTAAGTGGCAGAGGGGGCTGGGAACAGGCCTGCCTGTTCCTCTTCTCATCAGACCCTCTGATGCTGAATATTTAGGGTGGCGGCCAGGGGTTAGTTACTCTGGAAGTTTCTGCTCGGGCTAAGGGGTGAGCTGGCCTTGGGGAGCAGGGGGCGTGGGATCTAGACCCCCTTGCTTGGTGCCCCAGGAGGGGCCCAGGTCAGAGCCCTGGGGGGCCCTTGAAAGAGGCAGTGCTGACAGGCTTCTGGCTGCTGGTGTCCAGGGCCTCGCAGCTGCTGGGGGTTGAGCCTTTTGTTCGGACTCTAAAGATCCCGAAAAGCTGCTCCCAGCTCTGCTAATCCCGGATCCTTTGATGCTGGTGACAAGCTCCTGGCTTCCCTCAGGCGCCAGGACCTTAGGCTTCTGAGGTTGGACAGGGTTGCTGGGCGTTCCCCAGGGGATCTGCTCGGGGCTGCAGTCCTCCGTCAACCCCACAACATGGGCTCGTCTCCCTGTTGTATGGAGGGGAAGTTGAGGTCCTGAGAAAGGGTGACTGGCCCAAGGTCATCCAGGTAGGAGGTGATGACCGGGGATTTGAACCTGTCTAGAGCTGGCCCCGCTCCTGCTGCACCACACCCCCACATGGACACGGTGTGCCCCTTGCACAGAGGGGGAGACTGAGGCTCCATCTCACATGGAGGTGAGAGCCCTTGCTGACCTGAATCTGGGTGAATCTCTCCCAAGTGGTCTGGGCCCCTCACGGCAAGTCTTGGTAGTTTATTTATCTATTGGTGTACATTGAGGAAGCCACTAGAAACAGGAGGAGAGAGTGAGAGGAAGAGAGGGTGGACAAAAGTCGGGGAGGGGATTGCTTTCCTGTTTCTTTGGCAGAAAATATTCTGTTTTCCAGGGGAAGCACAAATTCCACACAGGCCCAAAGGCCCACAGTCTGAGGCGGTGCCACGAGCACCAGCTAAGAAAAGCATCAACAAATGCCAAGTTTCCATTTTATTTCTTTGGGTCCCAAGCTATTGAGTCTCCAGGCCTATGGGTCACCTTTACCTCAGCCTCCCAAGTGGAGGGCCCTTCTCTCACCTCCTGGCCCTGCCGTGGTCCGGCCCCAGCACAACTAGCCCCCTCCCACACCCCTCTCGGTCCACCTCCCTGTCCTTTTCCTGCGGCAGCGAGACCCATCAGCAAGGCTTGGCTCCATACAGGTCTGGACGCGGGATTCTAGGCCCCTGACCCAGTTCCTGCCCAGGGCTCAGCGAATGCCGGGCTCCGCCATCTGTGCCAGCAGCCTGGGGAGGGGGTGAGGTGGGGCGGGGCTGGTTGATACGATCTGAACCTCCCCCAGCTGCTGCCCCTGCCCCTCGAAGCCTTGCCCAGCCCTGATCTGGGCACCGGGAGAACAAGGACCCTCCCCTTGTCCCTGGGTGGCAGGGGGTTCTAGCTCCGGGCTGCAGAGTCGGAAGACTCAAGCTGGGCACGGGAGCTCCCCCCAGAAGCCCCCGTCACCCAGGCCCGCTGAGGGGCTGGCTGGAAATCTTTCAATCGAGATCACACCAGAATCAGCTAGCACCTTTCTCCTTTCTGTTTTTTCCCTCTCTTGCCTTTATTTAAATCTTTTTCTCTTCTCTGTGCTTGCCCTCTTTTCCCACTCTTTTCCACGCCTCTCGTCTGTGTCCTTTTCTTTAAAAAATTCAAGCAGGTTAGGGGTCATTTTACTTCTACATCTCTATCGCTTCCCTGAAACGTTTCCCTCAACCATAAAGCCCTCAACAGCTTCATTTCTGTTCCTGGGCTTTAATTAGTCCCAAAGAAGCTGCTGCTGATGAGAAGTAGAGACACAAACCAGTCCTGTGATGGCTGCCTCCTCCGGGCAGCCTGACACTCTGCAGCTCAGAAATGGAGGGACACTGGGCGGGCCCAGAGATATTTTTGTGCCTCCTTCGAGAAGATTCTCTTGGATCTAGCCTGTCCACAATATACGGGCACCTTATGATGCCTTGGCCGTGCCAGGACGGGTCCGTTTACCGCTGTGCACGTCCCCCAGGAGGCCGCGGGAGGCCGCTGCTTTGACCGTGGGCACTGGAGGCCAAGAGGCCAGGCCGGATTCCTCCACCACCTCCCAGCTGTCTGCTTTAGGCCAGATCCTTACCCTCTAGAACCTCAGTTTCCACATCTGGAAAATGGGAGCAACCATCACCTCTTACTCACGATGCCCTCGAAAAGAAGCAACAGAGACATTGCCGCAAGCAGGGGGCTGGTGCCTGGCTCTTAGTAAGTGCTCAGCGAATGCTCACAGATATCCGTTGCGTTATTATTCATCGTAAGATCATCAAGGGTGGATTATATGGGGCCCCCACCCCAGGAAGGAGGAGGCGGGCGCCCCCCACGAGGCACTCGTTCCTGGCCTGTTTGTGCAAGAACCGATGATGCAAACTTTAACGGTGCCAGGTGCAGGCAGCTGCCAGCTCCTCGAGGAGGCCGTGCTGTAAACAGGCCTGCCACCAGCTGTCAGGACACATCCAACTGTTTTGGAAGTGACTAGAGCGTCTGCCACTGGCTGCCTCCCTATGCTCTGCCCCAGGCTTCTGATGGCAGAGGTCAGGGGCTGCGGCTGGTGTGCTGGCCCCAGCTGGCTCTGGCTGGACCCCTGTGAAGTCCCTCAATCCCTCCTCACATACGAGCCTCTCCTTGGTGAGGAGAGCTCTTCCGTCCTGTGCAAGGGGCTCAGCGTCTGCCCTGCCTAGGGCTCCATCATTTACTTGTCCTCCCTAAGAGTTGCTACCTTCCTACTCCTCATTCCGGTCCATTCCCCTGACGTCCTGAGGAGCTGCCAAGGCCCTGCTTACCCCTCCTCTGCTCAAAAAAAAAAAAAAAAAAATCGATCAGAAACTGTTCCATCATCTTGCCTGGCCTGGCAGGAGCTGCATCTTCCCCCAGCTTCCCCTCCAGCTCTCCCCAACTTCTCACCTTCCGGACCCTTTGCCGAGGCTGCACTGCTCTTCCCACTGACACCCCAGACCCACCGTGACATGACTGCCTTTGCCTGAGCTGCCACTCCACCTGGAGGTCCCTCTCCCCACCCCTCTGCCTGATGGCATCCCATCCATCCTTTCAAAGGCCGCTGCCTCCTTGACTGTGCCTTCATGCTCACACTCACACACACACACACACACGAGGTGTTGTCACATTTCCACAGCCTTAACTTTCACGTGACATTTCTCATTCTTTACATTGAATCATAGTTTTGTTTACAAATTCTATTTCTTCCCCTAAACCCCAAGGCTTGCAGGTACATCCCTCGGCCCCTTGGTTGCTGTCGCCCCCACAACACGGCGCCCACATAGGCACTCCATAAATGTCACATGGAATTGACGCCCCCATGCATGAAAATATCTATCTACTCACTCAACCTAAAAGCATTTCTGAAAGCCGTTTGTCTGACACAGACATCGCCCGAGGCCTATGGCACCAACAATAGCATCATTGATAACTGCTTTCGCATTTCCATTTTTAGAAGTGCACAGCAGCGTGATATCCGGAGCAAGAGTCCTCCAGAAGAACGGATAAATACATGCGAACGGCTGATTCTATGTCCCCCAAGTCCAAAATGAAAGTCACCAGCATGCAGACAGAATAGCAGAGACGGGGAGACACAAGGAAGGAGTTTGTCTGTAAGAGGTTACGAGGCAGCGCTGCAGAGGTTTCGGTCCCAGTCAGCCAGACCGCCTTTCTCCAGGTCTGTATAAGAAAGTTGAAAGCATGCATTACCTGTTAGGCTCTGAAACAAGGGTACAGTTCAGGGATAATAGAAAGGATTTTCTTGAGAGTGTCTTAATTCAGAACATGCTCCCTGAGTTTTCCTTCTGCCCTGGCCCTGAGCTTCTGGCTGCTCTGCCAGGCAGTTCTGAAACGCTCTCCTTTGAAGCAGGGAGTTTATTTCGGGCCCACCGCATGACCAGCGATGGCGAGCCAAACTATAAGATGTTATGAGTCTCAGATTTCCTGTTTGAAGATTGTACCGAGGAAGCTGCGATCCTGCCTTCAGATCCTCTGGGTGCATCAATTCCGGACCTCACTTCAGAGAGCATCTCAGAGCGTGGGCCCTCACGTGACGTCATCATTTGTGATCCTTGGCATGGAGGCCATATATGGGTATGTTTCTGGAACGACCCAGGAGGGAGCAAGAGAGGAGAGAGATGCAGAGGGTGAGAGACAGAGATGGTGACAGAGACACAGAACTGGGAGATAAAGAGATAAGAATGAGGGAGAAAGAAAGTGTGGGAGAGATGAGAAGGGGAAAGAGAATGAGGAAAAATGGAAAGAGATGACAGAGAAAGAAGGAAAAAGAAGAGAGCGGAGAAAAGAGAGAGAGAGGCTGAGGCATAAATACAGAGAAGAAAGGAAAGAAGAAAAGAAAATTGGAAAAAGCAGAGACGACAAGGGGGAGAGGCACCATGATAAGCTAAGAGCTGAAAGGGGGAGAGAAAATGAAGTACGAGAGAGAGAGAGAGAGAGAGAGAGAGAGACAGCATGGACTGGAAGAAAGAGAGGGAGGGAAGTGAACGTGAGAGGAGAGATGGAGGGGAGAGAAATAAAAGGAAGGAGGAGAGACAGGGAGGGTGGGAAAGAGGAGAGAAAGAAGGGAGACTGAGAGCTCTCTGGAGGACAAAGGAAGAAAAGGAGGGGAGGCAGGAAGGAGGATGGACTGAATTTGAGAGAAGGAGATAGAGAGGGAGAAAGGGACGGAGGGATTCTGTGTAGGGACCTTTGCAGGAGTCGCTGGGCGCATAGCAAGTGCAGAACCTGATGTTTGGAGGGACCGGGGATCCGGGTATCCGGCTGCTGGATGCTGTAGGTGGGGCTGGAGCTACAAAGGGCAGGGGAACAAACAAACAAACAAGCGTGTGGGGGAGCCCTGGGCAGAGGCGCACGGTGGACAGGAGCCCTTCCTCCAGGGCCAGGGAAGGGACAACCCCTGTTTCTGGAATAGATTGAATGGCACAAAATGTCCGTGTCAGGTGGCACAGGAAATACACACAGAGCCACACGCACTGAGCATCCAGGATGCTCCCTGCATGCTGTCAGACGCTTACATGCCCACATATGCGCTCAGATCTCAGGTTGCAGGGAGCTGGAAATGTCACTTGGTCTATTCCTTTAAGCAGAAAAAACTATCAATTTCAAGGGCCCATTCCCCTTGGAGGATATTGGATTTTTGACCCCACTGCATGATTTCTTATCAACTCAAACTCAGGAGAACTTCAGGATGCTTTTCCACTCACTGGGAATAGTCCAGCTGGAATAAATCTCAGACAATACAGGGTGTCCTGGGGTCGGATCAAGGTTCTAGAGGTCTGGGACAGTCCCCCCAGGCTGCTGTGGCTGGTGGTCCCTCAAGGTTAGCTCACGCTCTGCCCCTCGCAGACCATGTGCCATGGTGGGGGTGTGAGAGAAGGGCCCAGAGGGGCTGTCCTATTCTCTTCACTGTGTGGGGATTTTCCTCGGTGGTAAGAAGTTCTAGGTGACTCCATGGAGTGTGTCCCTGAGCCCCACTGCTTCCCTGGGCTCCCTGTGGGAGGAGGGGCTCTCTACACATCCCAGACCCCTCCCCAGACTTGGCCTGGGAGGTGGGGGGCCCTGGGCAGGCACAGGGCTCCTTCCTGGGTGGCCCTCTGCCTCACCTCTCCCTCTCAGACCAGAAAAACCTCTTGTAGTCGAGGGAGCTGGAGAAACTCACACCAAACCCTGTGGCCTTCTGCCTGCACTCAGCTTTCGGAAACCAAGAGCCCAGACGGTGAGTGAAGAGTCACAGGGAACAGAAAGGGTGTTGGGGGTGGGCAGAGGAGGAGCGGGGCTGGCCAGGCACACATGGACTAATTTGGGACAGCAGCCTGCTACACTCATACCACCGTCCCAGCAAGTGCTCTCATCACCCCCATCTCACAGATGAGGAAACCGAGGCTCAGAGAGGTTGGGAGATTGTCCATAATCCCACAGCTATAAGTGTTGGTTTAGCAATCTCAACCAGATCTGCCTGACACAAAGTCAGTGCTTTTAGCCACAGTTCCCCATGTAATGGGGAATCCAAATGTTGGAGCAGAACAAGGAGCCCCACAGGGCTACCAATACAAACTGATGAATATTTGTTTTTCCCCAGGTTCTTAATTCATCATAGTTGGGGGTTGCTGCTGCTGCGAGTAAAGGTCTGCAGAGCCTGAGACCGATAGGTCGGCCTGTGTGTTGACATCGCGGGTTGCTAACCTACAAAATGAACAGGTTGGGCTAACTCGGCAGTTCCCAATCCTAGCTGCACGTTAGCATCCTACTAAACATACCTATGCCTGCCTCTTCCCCAGAGAGGCCCAAACAGCACTGATTCCTTAAACTTTTTATTAAAGTGTAATAGACCCACAGAAAAGCGCGCGTGTCCTAAGTGTCCAGCTCCATTGCATTTCACGAACTGAACACACCCGGCATCCACATCAAAGAGAGACTATTAGCAGAACCCAAGAAGCCTCTTTGGTCCCCGCCCTCGCCTCTACACCACCACCCACCACTTCCCGCCAGGGGTGACCGCCCTCCGGCCCTCCGGCGGCACAGATTGTTCTGAACTTCGCGTGAGTGGAGCCACACCTGTGTCCTCTTTCGTTCATCAGTTTACTGTGAGATCCACCCATATCGTTTCATGTAGTTACAGATTGTTCCTTCTCGCGGCTGCATAGTATTCCACACTACAAATACATCACAGTTTATCCATCCTACTGTTGGTGGACATTTGGGTGGGTCCCGGTTTGGGGCAATGCTGAAGAGTGTAGCTATGAATATTTTAGAACATTAATTTGGTGGATCTGCGCGCCCGTTTCTGTGGGGTATACACCCAAGGTGGGAATCGCTGGATCATAGGGCGGGTATATGCTCAGCTGGAGTAAATGCCACACAATTTCCCAAAGGTGTTGTACCAATTTACATTCCTGCCAGCCGCGCGCAAGAGTTCCAGCTGCTCCGTATCCTGCCCAACACTTGGTATTTTCCATCTTTTTTCATATCATCCATTCTGGCGGGCCTGAGTGGTATCTCATTGCAGTTTTAATTTGAACGTCAAATTGCGTCAAGCATCTGAGAAGCCCCGGCCTCAGTGATCTCTGGAGCCCTCCTACAAGGCCCCAGAGCTGGCCCTGAGGAACAGTCCCCCGGGAGGGTTTTACGGGACAGAAATAGGCAGAGGCAGAAACCAAACAGCTGGGGGGGAGCAGCAAGCAGGATGTGACCACCCAGAGAAAGCCTGCAGGGCTCATGCATGGCCCAGGGGGACCCTACTCTCTGGATCCTAAATAGACTCTCCCCTCCCCACTCTCCAGCCTCATATCCTGCTTTATTTTTCTCCAGAGTGCTCATCATCCCCCTTACCTATCATATATCTGTATTTTGTTTATTGCATGTCTCTCCCATCTAGAATAGTCTTTCTTTTCACTGCTGTGTGTCAGTGCCTACAACAGTGCCTGGCACACAGTGGGTGCTCTTAAACAGCTGTTGAATGTATGTGCTCACAGCTCCTGGGTCTGAACTGGGGAGGGTCATGGCACTGTCTGCCAGCCTCAGCCTGGCTCTTGGCCACACACACACAAACACACACACATGTGCGTGCACACACACATATCAGGCCTCTCCCTTCCAAGCTTCCCTCCATGTTTGTTTTAATCTGAATTCCCATGAATAAAGGTGTGTGTGTGTATGTGTGTGTGTGTGTGCTGGGGAGGCATTCATAGTGTCCCACACCTCGTGGGGCCCAGAGAGGATGCCAATACCAGCACATTTTCCTTATGACAATGACATCTCTTCCAGGAAGGAGAGAAAGAGAGAGGGGAGAGGAAGAGCCAGTTGAGGGTGGGGTGGAGCTGGGTTGTGGGTCAGTGCCAAGTCCTGGGACGGCTCAGACCCAGCGCTGGGACACCACCTGCTAAAAGCAGTGCCCTGCGGCCTCGGCTCCTGGCCCCCGGCCCTGGCTGCCTCGTGTATCAGTTTATTTTGGTTTCAGGAGATGAAGAGGAACAGACAAGAGTCCCACATTCACCCTGGGCAGTGTTCTGCAGCGGGGTGGACAGAGGGCAGACGGCAGGGGTGGGGAGGGCCCACAAAGGCCCCAAGTCCCTGGAGGGAAGAAGGCGCATCTTTGGAAGGGAAAGAAGGAGCCAGGAGAAGGCAGAGGAGTCCCGGCCTCTCCTCATCTCTTTAAAACGGGTGCTATGCCCTGTGGGCTGGGCCGACCGACAGTACCTTTCCTGGGGAGCAATCTGGACCCCCCTCAACCTCCCAGCTCAGGGCACCAAGGCAAACTCCAGGGAGAGAAGACAGACGGTCTTCTCCACGTATAGGGAGCAGAGAGAGGGCATATCACTCAACCCCAAGATGGGCGAGAAGGGCAGGTCAGCCCCACACCCTGTCGACATCCTAGATGTGGGGGTGACACCCACAGGATGAGGCTTCACCACCCTGCAGGGCCCCTAGGACTGGCAAAGGGCTATCTGGTCCTGGCCCCATTATTTCCAACAGCCCACATGCATGGAAAGGGAGGACCAATGGGATCTTAGAAGGATTTCCATCAAAATTAGCAGATTTGAGGTGCAAACTCAAGTGTGGGACAGGCTGTTTGCAGCCAGCTGGGGCCTTCTGGGCCATGACTGACCCCTCAGAGAAGAGTGGCCAGGACAGAGAGGATGGCAGAGCCATGGCCTCAGCCAGCCTCACAGCTCTAAACCCCATGCCTGCCTTGTACAAATCGCCAACCATCCTCCGCTGGCAGCCACCGAGTTATTCCCGCCCCAAGGGGGGCATAGTAAGGTTGTCTTGCTCTGTTCCGGAGTTTCAGCCCTTGAAAGGAGCCACAGGCAGCAGAAACCTGTAGCCCCAGCGCCTTCTGCCTGTGAGCTCTGACCTTCTCCAGGGAGAGTCTTGCCCCTGGAGGGTGTCCTGGGCCTGGTGGGAACATGCTTGGGGCATGCTTCGTCAGCCCTGTGCAGACGATATCTTCCTTGCTGGGAGATGCCATCAGCATGCAGTCTGAGTTAGCACTCCTCCTGGTTCCAGCAGGGGCACTGGTGTCAGATAATTCCAGCCCATTCCTTGCTGGATCTCGCCGTGCCTGAGTCCTACTTGGGAATCTGAGAACGAAGTTAAACCCAAGTTAGCTGTTGGCAACAGGTTTTCCATGAGTGTAAATGCATTCAGAGCAGAGCTGGGAGCTTTCTCTTGCCTTTCAGCTGGAGGGAAGGGCCCCTCCTAAACAAGACCAGCACGTAGCAGGCCCGCCCTCCTTCCCCAGGAGTAGCCACTGGCTGTGTCAGACACGGCATGTCCTGCTGGACACAGCAGCTCCTGGCCGGCCCCTCGCCATCCGGATGAAGCTGGGACGAGGTCTGGGGCCCCATTCCTTCCATGACTGCAGTGGAGATTGGAAGGCAGATGCCTCTTGAGTGCAGGCCCTGGCCCAGCACTCTGGAGGCAGAGCTCGCGGGGAGCCAAGTGGCTGCTCCAGATACGCAGCTTTACCCATTTGGCACCTCTGCAGGGGCAGCCAGCCAAACGGCAGCTGTCTGCTCTCAGGTTTCAGCTCTCACCTCGGCCTTGCTCCTCAGGACCCAAAGTGGCCAGTGATGTGACATCACACAGGTGTCAGCCAGCCCCAGCGCTGGGGAAGGCCTTGGGCTTGCTCTGGTGAGGAGGACCTGGGTTCTGAGTGTGGGGCAGGTCTGGGGACACAGTGGAGGACCAGGGGTCCCAACATCCTGGGGGTGGGAAGGGATGGACAGGCGCCCCGATTTACCATCTCTTCCTGGGGTCCGGGCACCTGCATGGCCGTCCTGTGAGGGAGGTGTTATCATCCTGCTGTTCGGATGGAGTCACCAAGGCCCTCCTGGGTCTTGCCTGGACTGGCAATGGTGACACCTCTGCCCACACAGCCTCTGTCCCATGAGAGCTGAAGAAGCAGACCAGCAAAGGATGTCAGAACTAAAGGTCCTCAGGGCTCATCTGCTCCAAGTTCCTTCTTCTGAGGAGGGGAGACCAAGCCTGGAGAGTGAGAGGCTCTGTCAAGGCTTTGCAGAAGCCAGAGCTTCCAGAAACCCGTTCGGTGCTTTTCTGCAGCTCCCTCCCAGGCTTATGGTGTGACTGGAGTGTTGATACTCATGCCGTACACCCTAAAACCCAAGTCATTGGGGTAAGTGACAGAAACCCCAACACACTAGAGGGAATCGAGCCCAGAAGGCAGGCCGGGCTTCCTCCTGGGCACATTTAAGATGCCTGCTGCCCCCTGGAGACTCCAAGAAATGCTTGGGGGCATGGCAATCCTGGTTTGCAACAGACCACAAGCCCTGTTGAGCAGTGGAGGCTTCAAGCACAGGCAATTTGGGTGTCGATGTCATCGTGCCTCCTTGTTCCCACTCCAGGAGGTCAGGCTGGGGCCACTCCTTTAGCACAGAATCGCTTGTAAAGTGTCTGCCACAGATCCCCCTGTGGAGCCCAGTGGCTAAGAGCCCAGATTCTGGAGTCATCTGCCAGCTCCAGCACTTGCTAGCTGTATGACCTTGGACAACTGGCTTAACCTCTCTGAGCACTGGCTTCCTGATCTATAAAACGGAGGGAAAATGGTGGTACCCATACTTCACAGGAAGGTAGCAAGGACTAAAATATATATATATCTTCTTTAGAATAAAGACTAAGGCTTACATATATATCTAAAGACTTACATATGTATAATCTTCCTTAGAATGAAGTCTTGTAAATGTTAGAGGTTGTTATTAGCTTAAACTTCCCAATGGAGACAGAGGGGATGGTGGTTGGTTGAACACAGTGGTTCTTGACTTGGGACAGTTTTCCCCCAGGGACATTTGACAATACCTGGAGACATTCTGGTAGCCACAACTAAGGGTGGGGGGCGCTACTGGCATCTGGTGGGTAGAGGCTGGGGATGCTTCTAAACATCTCACAGTGCAAAGCACAGCCTCCCCAACACGGAATTAATGGTCCAGATGTCCACAGTGCCGAGGTGGAGAAGGCCTGGCTGGAGGGGCAGCATGGGGTGGGAAGAGGACATGTAGGGGTAGAACGTGGTCTGCACTGAGCGGAGGGGGGAGTGCAGGGGCCTCTCCCTTGCTCCCTGAGGACAGCCTTGGAGTTCAGGAATAGCTGTCTCAGGAGGACCAAGTGTTTGGATTTCAAATGCCTTGTGACCGCTGTAGGGGGGCTCATTGAACCAGCTTCTATACCAGCCCTGAAGGCCACTGGAGGAGGAGATGCAGCCTTGGTCTGAGTAAGGCAGAGGGAAGGTGATCTCCGTGAAGCCAGGGGGTTCTCCGTTAAGCAGGGAAGGGGCCCTAGATAGGTCTCAGCCCTGCTAGAAGCTGGTGCCATCAGACACACGC